GTGAGGTGTTGGAGAAAATAGTGAACTCCATGGAGTCGGATGTTCTGACCGAGTCAGTAACAGAAGACAGTGCCGATGATCAGCAGGTTGCAAAGAAATTACCTGTCAGACGAGCCAGGAAGGGGCTGAAGCGACTAAAAGAGAAAACAGGAAGTCGAGCCATGAACCCGAGAGTGGTGAAGTCGAGAGCCAGCGCAGTGGTGACCTCTTTAACGAGCGCAGGTCGCTCAGGCGAGAGCGGGCAAGGAGATAGTGCAATGCTGACAGGGGGAGAAAAGGAGAATCTGATACCCCCTATGCTCTTGGCCGGTCTGACCACGACTGCCGTAAGATCAAAGAAAACTGCACGAACCCTGGCAGACACTAAATTAGAGATGGAGATCATCAGTCAATGTGGATCTGGAGGACTTGAAGATTACAGGCCCTCGCGGACCAACATAGCCAAATTGAAGCTGGAAGGACAACTGGACGTGGTCGAGTACAGTCGAGTAACTGTGCCAGAATCAGTCCACATGGGAGATCCAGCAGGAGGTTATGTGGAAATGTTGAAAGCGAGAAACTCCGTGAGAGGGCACCTGATGGCTTGGAGCGAGAAGCGAGCCATGCAGGAACATCTAAAAGAGCTCACGGAAAATTCGAACTTAAATCGAAAAGAATACGGCACGGTAATGTCCTCTGAAGCGAACGAAGTCGGATTGGAAAAATTGCTAGAAATCTCCTGGAGGGCGGCCCTCCTGAGATACTTCGACGAGGCGATGCATGCACCTGCTACGGTGGCAGCATACCTGGCTCATCCTGCGTGAGAACTGATCTGCAAGTACGGTTGGCTTGGTGCTTGATGGGCATCAGGAGAGCGGAGTATGAAGCCAGTAATGATTCGAAATCACGGGAACAGGAGCTGGAGTTGATGGAAGCTCTGCGAGCGTTGATTTCGAAAGACGATTCTGCGACAGCATGGGCTAAGCGTAAGGATGCCCTTTGCTTTGTCAGGTTCGTGGTGGATCGTATCCCCACTCCTGTTTTGGGAGAATGCATAAAGATCATTCGGCAAAAGGGAGTTGATTGTGAAAGGAACTTCCTTAGGGCACTCCTGGAACTATATCAGGACATGCCATTGACTGTGCCAAGCAAGGAGACGAATGATATGGAAAGCTATCGCAAGTTGGAAGAGGTGAGAAGATATTCCAACAAAGAATTGAAAGTGAGCCGGGAGTTGATTGAAGCGGTCAGAGGACAAAAAGAGTTTGAAACACTAGGGAAACTGAAGTCATTCCAATATGTGTCTGGCATACCGGGGATGGCGTATAATCCCTTCGTGAATGAAGAAGCCAGGGAAGCGTACTTCGACTATGAGCAAGTCATAGTACTCAATTTCTGGGTTGAACGTATTAAAGAAACTGGGATGCTGATGGTGGAACAACCCAAGCTGGGAATTATTTTGGAAGAACGAGTGGCCGAACCCTCGGTTCCCGAGCTAAAGGGGCAAGTGAGTTTTGATTGTGGTTCTTGGGACGGTCCCTTGAAAGCCAGTCTAGTGACGATGTGGGAACTCATGAAGCCTCCTTGGTGCCCTCATCCTAATGCCGGTTTAATCTGGGACATGACGGCGGATATCACGTTAGACCTAGATGAGGACGCGAGTTTACATGATCTGGCCATGATACATCATCTGCTGGCCATGAGATTGACGAAGCGGAAGAGCAACCCATCCACGGAGCTGTCCGAGGAAGGTCCATCGAGTAATTGGTTGAAGCAAGGCACGTGCTTGGCTCAACACAGTGGGATGGAAGGACATGTTTGTAACCTGGGACAATGCCTGGTTACGCTGAGCGAGCAGCATCGGCAACTGGCACGATTGTACGGAAGACTGAGCATGTCGGATAAAAGTGGTATGGAGTTGGTCGCGGACTGTCATGGGGTGACGGACGTAAATTCGATCACAGCCTTGGGATTTTGCAGCATGACGAGTTCGATTGAATCGCTTGAGCGCCTGGAGCGTGCCCATGAGCTAGTGACGTCCCTCAGCGTGGAAGTATTCCCTGGAGCATTGCAGACAGAGCAGAAGATCGGAGGCTGGAGAGAAGCTCTGGAGAACGAGATGAATCTGAAAGATAGTGAGGCCTATCATAAACCGACTGGTTCAAAGTATCTGGTGGGTTCAAGCTCCGCACCATATTGCAGTAGCAGATATCCTACACACATGGTGGTGATGGATGCGAGGACACAGCAGGTGTTGATTGATCAACTTTTCTCTGTGCCAAAGTGCGTGAGGTTGGCCAGGATGTCGGAGAGGTCACATGATTTGTTGGCAAAGATCTTTCGGACAGTCCCGAAGAGATCTGAAGGCGAGTTGCAAGATGTGGTGGGTGAAGAGTTTCTGAGATTGAGTGAAGGCAATGTGAGTGAGTTCCAGAAACAGAAAGCGAGTGGAGCCTTACCCACTGAATTCCCCTCAATAGAAGAAAAAGACGACTTACACAGAATTCTGATGGAGGTGGAACCGTTGCTGGGAGCCTCAGGGTATCGGACCCGAAGGAACATAGTGAGAACCCATGGGGAGTATCCTTGCCACTGCTTGGCGCAGACGTTGTGGTACCCCAAACGCGGGAATCTGATGCTAGTATGGGACGTGGAGGAGTTGTACTCTACGGGGTTGCCCGATCAGAATCAACAGGTGTCAATCGTGGTGGTTAGTGCCATGCTGGCAGTGAGATGGCTGGAGGCTAACGCGGACACAGATGAGCAGGAGACGGCCGTGGCGACTCCTGAACAGCTGAGCAACGTGAAGATGAGTCATGAATTGGATCTTTTCAGAACCACCTGCAAGGTTCTGAGGATACCTAAAGCCATTGAAAGAATATGGTCAAGGCAAAGATTGATGCCTTGGTTCCGTGCAGTGATGACATCATGGATGTATGAACGCGCGAAGCGTCACATGTCGAGGAACACGGAAGCCTATCAATCTTTCCAGCTAGATATAGGACCAGGAGCCTATAAGAGAGTATTCTTGACGCACAGAAACGCGGTCAAGCGGGTAACTGGAGCGCCTTGTGTTACTGAAGATGAGAAGAAAGAGGTCTTAAGAGCTGACCTAGAACGAAACGTGAGCCTATGTCTTCACAACAGCTTTTGCAGGAACCAGGAGCAGAAGGTGAATGTGGACTTGCTACCTTGCTGCAAACCGAGGCTGTTGGAGCAGGATAGTTGGGGCACGGCCCGCAACTCTCTGGACATGTTAGAGAAAGTCCTGGAAGACAGTGACGCTGAACATCAGGATGGAGAAATGATGGAATGAAGATGACCAAAGAAGAGAAGAGAAGGAGAAAAAACTTGATTGTCTTTGTGTGTAAAAACTTGAACAAATCAACCAAGTTTTGATTATTGAACTTGTTAAACTTTTTGTTTTGATCTAGTTTGGTCAGACCAAACTTTGAAAATTGTTGCAATTGTTAAAATTGTTGAAATTGTTGATTTTAGTTACTACTATCTATGTATGTATATAAGGAGCATAGGTGAGTATATTTACCTATTTATTCAAGACTGAAGTTTTTAACCTGTGTAAGACACAATTTCACTGTGTGGCAACATGGTAAAATTGAGTGAACTCGCTCGAGAAGGGTGGGTAACTCAGTAACTTTCCTAGCCACAGAGTTTCTTAGTTTTAATAATGAAAGGACCGCATAAATGACTGATTATACTTGGTGAGTAATGTTAAGTTAATTTTAACGGGTGCGTGGCCGTGCCACGTCCCACTTTTTAATCACAAAGAGCGAAAAGAAGTTTTATGGCAAGACGACGTAAGTAGTCAGAAAAGAAATTTTATCTAGGACACTCCTCATGGTGCAAATTTTGTGAAAATGTTGAAAGGCAGTGAAATGTAGTACGATGCCATTTGTGAACACGTAGTGAGTTGAGGTGGGGTAGATAAATTTCATTTTCTTATGCGATTTGTAAGATTGATTACAGAAAACTGGATAACTACTTGACGATAACCCGGTGTTATGCGATCAATAGGGACATTGATGGGGACTGTCCGGGGAGTATGTGCCATTCTGCCAGACTGGCACAGCACAACCTTCCGGCGACGTAAAAAAGAACGACTAAAGGCCTTATTGACGAAAAAGCATTGCGAAGGAGGGTCGGAATATTCTAGAATTTTTATTTTTAAAATTTCGATTGGAAGAAGAATATTTCTCAGAAATACGAAAAACGGCCGTTTTGACTGAAAAGGTGACGAAAATAAGAACAACGACAGATATTGTAAAACACAGTCGTACCAGAGACGGAAAATACGAAGCCGCTTATCGTGGCAACAACGCACGATAAGACACATGTCAACAGATATTGGTGGAGAAGGAGGCTTCAGTGGGGGAAGAAATACACCACGGAACCCTCCCGGGACACAAATTGGAGGAGATAAGAGCGTTATCTCAGGAATATTACGGGAGCGGAGGCTTGGTCCCCCAGAGACTGTTCTATGTGAAGGGACTGTATAAACTAACTTTATAGCTGCTGGAATGTCATAGATCTCTTAATTAATACCGTTATTGTTTGATATTTCAGAATATGAGCAGCTAGAAAGAGGAAAGGGTCAATCCATCTCCAATAGATTTAATATAGAACTGTCACACAAAAACATATTAAAATAGGTTGTTCGAGCCGTGTTTTTAATGACAATCACGTAGTCTGAGGATCCGAGACTCAGCTATGTGGTTGTGTTCGCATGTAAACGAAAGCTGATCAAAAGTCGTTTGACTGATGGCCTAAAAATGGTAACTTTTTACTTAGCCCTAGACAGACCAGAAAATCAACTGGCAAGGTCGAGACGGTGAAAAACGAGTAGGATTAAGGTAACTGACGCCTGCCAGTCGTTAATAGGTACTTTTTCTACGCTCCGTCACTGTGTAGTATTTGGGCGAATGTTACAGTTTCGAAGCACCGGAGGTGTGTTAAACGCTAGTTATTATTAAATTTCTTAACCAGGGCTATAAATTATAGATTAAAATGATATGAACGTGCATTCTACCAACCATCTAATCTCGAAGAAGCAACCTTTATCTTTCTCTGACGATTCAAGTAAAGTTGCTGCCAATATAATTTCAGATTCGACTTCTAACAATAAAAATCAAGCCATCGGCGTTCGAACATCGCCAAGAAAGAAGAATTTTTCCAACATAGATATAAAAGGCCAGCTAAACTGGCAGCTGTTTGAGAATCACAACCAAGAGGGATTAGAGCTTAGCAGCGGAAGGAACGACCATAATCAGTCCAATATTTCATCAAATGTTTCAGAGGCAACTGCCAGCATGGTAAACAGTATTGAGAATCAAAATAGTATGAAGTCTAAAGAGTCTTATGAGACATCCAATCAGACTCTACAAATAGTAAATGACGTTGTTGCCCGAGTAGCACCAGATAATCGCTCGAAGCCGGAGCCTGTCATGTCGAACAAAAAGTTGGTATCAAGCTATTCGACTCCAACATCTTCGAACGCCCCAACAACTCCAATAACACCGTGTACTCCAATAATGACGGTAGAAGAATTGAAACAAACTTTCCAATTTGACGAGAATCTTACAGGTGAAAGTTTTCCAGTTGCTTGTCGTTCAGCTCAGGGAGTACTTTTTAAAAATAGGCTTGGTTCTGGTAAGAAGGGTCGCTGTATCAAAGTAAATAACGAATGGATGACTCCCTGGGAGTTTGAGAGTCTCGGTGGACGAAGTGGCAGCAAGGACTGGAAAAGAAGTATACGCTACCAAGGTCGTCCCATAAATGATTTGATGATGGCTGGTTTCATCTCCTTTCACGCTCCATCGTGCACTTGCAGAATTTGCAGTGACGATCCATCTGGCGAACCGCTTTCCGAAACTCAAACGGGCTCAGCCTCTGTGAGATATTTCACGCCTTACAAACGTAAACCGAGGTCAGAGGCTAATATTATTAACAATAATAGCAACAGCAACAACAATAATAACACCAAACCGAATCCCACTTCATCTTCGCCTGGGCTTTCAAACGCGAAAAAATTGAAGACCCTCATCCCCATCGCGCCATCACCCGGAAGTTCTAACGGGTCAAATGGAGGACAAAGACCGCAATTGAACAATTCCAAATCAATGCCTGCCTCATCCTCAATGCTTAACTCGGGACACGACAGTAGCGGAACCCTTTCATCGACACCCATCAGCCAGGTTGCTGCTATCGGAGGAGGCTCTAATACTGCAATTTATCTCAGCAACGTGGACCAAAATATTCAGAATCAGCAGCAGCAACAGCATCACATGCACAACTCTAACACGCAACAGCTACTGAGTCACGCTACAAGCAATGGAATCAATATGAGCTCGAACATTCTCTCGGGAAGCCATAACTCGAACAACAGTGGAAACTCAAATATCGGCGGAAGTAACAGCTCCAGCTCACTGGCTGCTCTTGTACCTGCTCTGGAGTCAATTTCAAATCAAATAACGCATCTTGGTAGCCAAGTTGATCTCATTTTGAATGCAGTTAAAAAAGATTTACTCCGAGATACTTCCCCTCAATCAAGAGGAGGAACAGCGAATGGGGATATCATTAACTATATACCTTCAGGTTCCTCGGCAGTCCAGCTGAAAAATGAAAAAGTGTGCAATAATTGTGGCCGAGAGACCACCAGCATGTGTTCTGGGTGCAACAAAGCTTACTACTGCTCCGATTTTTGTATCCAAAAAGATTGGGGCAACCATGCTAACTACTGTGACGTGCAGCCCATCCTAACTCCAGCCTCGCCTCAGAAAATGCAGAACATCTTCGGATCCTCAGTTCTCGGAAATCTCAGTTTAGACAATAATTCCAAACCGCAACAGAATTCCAACAACAGTGGCCAAGCCACCCAAATTTACTTGGCCACAGGAGGTCAACATCAGCAGTCAAACTCAACGCAGATCATAAACGCCTCGAACAACTCACTAAATGCAGTTGGGGGTAACAACAATAACAATTCTGGAGGTCAGTCGAACTCAACAATTGTTCTGAACTCTTCAGGTAGCCAGGGAATGCAACTAAAACAGCTCAATTTGATCCCTAACTCTCTGAACGCTTCTGGAAACTCTTCTATTAACGCCTCGTCACAAAATGATAATAACATAAATGGGAGAAGCACGAACAATGACATTGGGCATGACCAAATAGCCACTGCCAACAACGTGGCCACACTAGCTGGAGGAGGATCCAACTCTGGACAGCAGTTCCTGATCCAAACATCTTCCGGAGCAACTCTAGTCTTACCTGCCAACTTTCTAACTAACATTAATTCAAACGTCGGAGGAACTACAACCATACCCATTAGCGACCAGGAGGCCCTAGAAAACCTCCTTGCATCTGCTTCCTGATTTTGTCATACCCGAAGTTACGATTACGCGAAACTGATTTCAGTTCCCAAAAATCCGGCAGCTATTAGAATTACAAACAGATCGAGGCAAATAGATCCCAAGAGTTTCGATCTGAAGACCAGATCTGAAAGCTTTGACAAATCCAACGCTCTTCTCACGTGTCTGCAAACCAACAGTCCCAGTCCTGTTATCAATTCCTTACTTATAATGCATTTCATTGCTCTTGCTGAAGACTTAGTTTCTTAGATTATCCTTTTATTTCTTATTTTCATACCATTTCTTGGCTGAATTAGAGCACAAATTACTATGCTGAATTAAACGATAAACGCTGAAGCGTTTAATGAAACAGCTGGTGAACTTATGAACATGTTTTATGATAGTAATTGTCTGGTAATTAGTTATATTAGTTCCGAGTCATGGGTTTGTTTTCTTCGTGGTTCTATCTTCGTCTTTGAAATTAATTTAGCTTTTTAATATTAATTTCCCTTCAAAGGTCACACTTTTGCAATTTTCTTCAATGCGTAGATTAACTTTTCGAATAAACATTTCGAGTCAACCGAGTCTTCGATTTCTGCAAGATTCGAACTGTTTATTTTTCCTTCTTTTTAGGTAATTTGGTGTTGTTATCTTTGAGTGATTGGGGGTGATAATTAATTCATAAATTGTGAAGTAATATATTTTGATAAATTGTTAATGCCTTTTCTAATGCAACCCCTTTTTCCTTTCGCGCTATGATTTAACTTAATTCTCAAATTTTGTTTACCCTTGAAAAATCATTTCAGTTCAGATTATTCGTTAATTCAGATTAACTGTTCGTTTAGATTCAGTTAGCTAAGTAACACCCTGAAATGATTATGCGGGGAATCTGAAAATTACATCTAGCTTACATTGAAACTGGTGTCAAATACCAGAACTTTGAAGTAGCATCTCTGTTTTGTTTGAAGGCATTTTTTTATTTAAATGATATGATTATGATTAAATCAGTAGTCTCCCAAATATAATTTATATTTGCTGCCCTAATAGTCATTTTTGCTCTCAACTTACAACAAACCAATTCAAACCAGGAAATTCAGCCGAAATGAGACGTACTATCATTGTATACTTGCAGTTTCATTTTGAGACGCAGCCATTAAAAGAGGAAATACTAGTATGATGTGAGGTGTTCTGATACCTTCAGTGAAGTCGATTGTTGTTAAAATGTTAAGAGTTTCTGTTCAAGCAGCGCATTATGTATGCTTGGACCGCATTAATCGTTGCAATATATGTTGGAAATAAACATGAAATTTTCTCAGCCTTTTTGTTCCGACCACTCGCAGAGTGGGAAGGAACTAAAGCCTAGTTTCCGTTTTGTAAAATTTATTTCCGGCCAATTTCGATTTCATCGAAGAAGGCTCCTATCGGGTCAAGTGTCGTATCATATTGAAGCCCCAATGGCCGTGATTGGGTTTCTTAAAAGCATCCCAGTGTCGTGAAAAACTGGTCTGATTTTTTTTCGTGGAAATTTGAAGAGGAAAGCTGATCTCTTAAGTTGATTTTAATTACAATTTGATGCTTGCTAGGTATAGTTACCGCTCTTTTTCCCATTGTGAACCTAGTTCAATTGTAGAAAAACAAATAACAGGAAATCTAGGCAAAAAAATTAAGAAAAAGTTTTCTAGCGAAAAAGTTTTATAAAAAGCTGTTTCAGAATTTCTCCTTGTATAATTAGGTCGGAACATTTTATGATGACTTGCTGTTGATGATAATTTGCTATTTTACTGGAAATAAAAGATACGAGACCCGAGTTGAACGCAGTAAAAATTCAAATTTCCTTTCCGTATATCTGTCGTTTTCATAATTTTACCATTGTGGTTTGTCAAGGTATTCTTACTTGAAAACAAGTATTTTTTGTTTTTCTGGTAACAACACATGAATTTTTACAGTTTTTCTGGAGTACTCATCAATTTCAAATAGTTTCGGTTGAAGTGCGAACATGTTCTGGCTAAGAGTTTGCTTTTACAGAAAAAGATATTAATTCAACTGACCATGATTTTTTCCGTAACTGGCTTTTGATCGCTTTTTTCCTTTGAGCATTTTTTTTTTCAGATTTAAGAGTAAATTTTGACTGGAAACTGGTGATTAAAAAAGTGAAACGCTCGTTTTCGAGCGAGTAAAGCGATCGAGTAACGTTCTTTTTACATAAATTTTGACCACTTAGGCTAAAAAACGCATGGTTTTACTAAAAAAAATTGTTTTGGAAGCTGTATTGAGCGTTTTCTCGGCCATAAAAATTTTCACGCAATTTTAACTTTTTTTAGTGTTTTTTTTATTTATATTTTTTCATTTTTCGGCTGACTTGTTTTTTGAAGACGGTTGTAGCACTTTATGCTTAATTTCTACGCCTTTGTGTATAATTCTATAATCACACCACACAGAAGAAAAGACGCTATTTTGAAGATAATTTTTTTGTAGTTTTCACGAATATGGTAGAAAAATCATGTGCTTCTTGCACAGCAACCGTCTATCCTTGTTTGAATTTTTGTATTGTTTCATTCAGTTGAAGTTACTATCTATTAAAGAAACTAAACACTTCAAACAAGCAAAAAATAAAAAGAAGCATTCCGTGTTAAATGCACAGTAAACTGATTTCCCTTCTCTCTTTTTAATTTTGGTAGCGTTTCTTACTTGGTAGCGCTTTCTGAATACGAGGTCACATTAAATTATTTAATTATTTTTCACCTGTGATTTCGTTTCCAAAGAAAATCGAAAAGGTTTTTGAGATTAAATCACTCGAAACTAAACGAACCACACTGAACTTTCAATTCAATTCTAGTGCAATTCAACATAAGTTCATCTTAAATGACCTCTACTTTCACCAGGGCTTTACCTAACTAAATTGTCCCATAATAAAAAAAAACAATCGAAAAGTGGGCGAAAAAAGTGAAAAAAGTTTTCAATTAAATTAATGTATTTTTTTGATATTATGGTTTTATTTCGATCTAATTTTTCATTGTTATCATTGGCCGGAACATTCTGTGCCACGGATACAGCAACGTGCTGTCCGTGTTTTTACGGTGGCGTCCCTGTTGATGAGAGGGCTGATTGTTGGAAGTTTATTTTGCAAAAGAAATCTAGAAGTTTGCGATTTCGGTAAACAAATTCAGGCTATCAAGACAAAATTTGACCGACTGCAAAGAGCAAAATAAGCAGAAAATTGAATTTTTTATTAGTGTCAGATCCAAAAAAATTGGAAAAATTTATTACCTTGAGGATCTCAATTTTAAAAAAAATTGAAAAACAAAACAAAAAATTATTCGATAACTGCACGAATTGTAGAGCAAAACTTGCCCTCAAATCAATTTCTTTTTGTTTTTCCGACCATTTGAATTAGAAAATCGAATTTCTAATTAGTGTCAGATCAAAACGCATTGGAATAATTTATTAACTTGAGGATATCAATTTTAAAAAATTGAAAAACAAAAAAATTATTCGACTTCTGCACGAATTGTAGAGCAAAACTTGCCCTCAAATCACTTTCTCCTTATTGTTCCGACCATTTGAATAATGGACAGGAACTTTGTATTTGGGCGCTTTAGTTTTTTTTCTACCTTTGTATTTTCCACGCAAAATCAATTATCACAAATAATCATCCGTCTGGCTTGCGTGATATGTCATATTGAAGACCTTTCAGCCGTGATTCGAACAAATTTAAAAAACTCAAAGAAGTGTTGCCAGTGTCGAGAAAAAACGGCCGTGAAAACTCACTTTTTGAGTAAAATTAGTTTATGGAGTTTTTTAGCGCCATAGGAAATCAGAAAGTTTGAAAAAAAAAAAAATTTTGTCAAATTAATTTACGATTTATTGTTTCGTTTCGTACAAAATTTGTTTTCCATTTGGCCTATTTTACTATGGCATCTTTTTTTATCACACCACGCATAAAAAATTCTGTACAGTTACCGGCTCTCCTTGTTTTGACTTCGAGTTTGTTACAATAGGTGGTAATTTTGAGTATAGTGCAGGTATTAAAATTCAGAACTGTAATGCATAAAGTAGTCATTTCATTTTCAATCAATTGTACTAGCACTAAGATTTTTTTTGTAAATACTTAACTCTGCCAGATGAAATGCTATTCAAAACTTCAAAGTTTACACTTTTACCAAAAAATTTGGCTTTTGAAACAAATCACAAATAGAAAAAATTAGAATTAAAAACAAATAGCGATCCAGCTATTCAAATTGAACCTACCACCTATTGTAATAAATCACCAAAAACCATTCAACGAACGAGAAAGTCTAAGGAATCTAATTGGTTGAAAATTTTCCATCATTCGGCACCTCTATCATCAGAATAGTCCATGTTTCTACTCTGAACTATTTGTATGTTTATCTATTAAGATTGATACAATACAGCTGTAATGAATAATTTTTAGCTTTTTTAATGAGTCAGTGGAAATCCTGTGTAAATTTTGCATTTGATTGTCCGATAATGAAGCACTGCCAACAATTTCATAGCAGCTCCAGCCTATTGACAAATCATTGCCGATAGACAAATCATAACCAAAATAAAGCATAACAATAGCTGTTATAGAACCGTAGATCAAGTTTTATGGCGAGTATTATTTAATGGGTCATAGTAGGTCTGGGCTGCTCGTAGGTAACAGCTCGAAGGCGTTCGCTTTTGTCTCTCTGAAACACCCTTTATTAGCCTCAATGGAAAGTTTTTATTGCTATTGTTTTCAGATGAATTGGTCTTAGATAGGCAAAATGATTTAAAAAGCTGTAAAAAAAATGGCAAACGTGAAAGAAACCAAATCAGCTGAAACTCAAACAAGCAGTGATGGTTCGCTAATAACTGAATTGGAATTGTCCAAGATAGTTCGTCTCAATGTCGGAGGAAAACTTTTCGTGACTTCAGCGCAGACGTTGAGAAATACAAAGACATACACGTGATGAGAATGGGGCACTTTTTGTTGATCGCTGTCCTCTTCTATTTGGAAAAATCCTCGCCTTTCTGAGGACGAAACGCATCCGGCTAAATGGGGTTGATATTGATGATATGCTAAATGAAGCCGATTTCTACGGCGTTCAACCTTTAATGGATCGACTTAAAGTATGCAAGCAGCTAAAAAGCTCAACGTGTGGAAACTTAGCGTTCTGTGGTATAAAACCACCAATGGAAAACAACTTTCCCATTAATGATTGGACTGATACGGAAGCTTTGGCGCCAAGGTCCAGAAATGAAGAAGTTTTAGCACTTTGTGCTACAGATAAATGGATAGCTGTTGCATACGCATCAAAAATAGCCTGTTACTCAACTCGGCAATTCAGCGGCGAGGCTTGTCCGAATAATACATTTGTGACTTGGCTGCAGCCAATTCCTGATGGCAAACCTTCTTTCCTCGCTCTTAAGATTTTAAAACAGTCATCGCGAGAAGAAAGGTCAGAACAATTGATAGTTGCATGTGTGACTAACAATGGGATCTTCTGATTTGGAAACAGTCTGTAGATTTGGACAGCACCCAAATTAGTCCAGTTTCCTTTGTAGGAAAGTTCTCAATTTTTCCGAATGTAACGGCGCTTGTTTTCGCCGGTCGACGTCAAGTTGTGACTTTAAATAATGAAGGGTCCTTCGCTGTTTGGCAGTACTCCCGGGACTTCCAATAGCAGAAGGTAGAGCCAATAGGTAGAGCCAATTTCTAGTTTCGACGAATGTGGACCAATGATGTTTTTCGGCCATAAGAAAGGAATCATTCGGTATTCCAACGCCGAAACTTGACCTGTAAGGCTGGAGGACAATAAGATAATACTGACTGATCTTTATCATGATCAAGAAAATGACGCGATCACAGCTTTGAATGTTCGATTGGCGACAAGCAACAACGTTATTGATCTGGGTGCTATGGAAAACCAGTTTTACTTCGAGATAGCCTATGGAACTGCTAGTGGCCGAGTCAAATTGATTTCAGAACATGCTGAAACGATAGGACAAGGACCCCAGCTTCTATTTAGTTTCGCAGTCCATAGATCTCCTGTGATTAAAATCCTTCTTGCTGAAAATCATTTGATCTCAAATTGTGCCGACTAACCATGTCAGATGCTGGCAAGTCAGCAGGTTTAGAGGACTCCTGTCTAAAAACCCTCTACCGATGCCTTTGACTAGTTTCAAGATGTTGCACCTGGAGCCAAATTTTTCGAGTCACGATTACGTCGCGGCTAACCCTATAGGCCCTCATATGTTGTCAGGTTCTCAAGTTTGGTATCTACAAAAAATAACACCCAAGGCGACGGAAATGTTTGTTATTTCGGCAATGACCGGAGAATGCGTGCATAAGATAGAATCGGTTGATAGTAGTCCGATAAACTGTTTTTCCATTACGGAAGAGTGGCGACGAGTTGGAGATCCTACTCAGTATGTTTTCACTGGACATAAAAATGGGACCATACAAGTATGGAATCTGGCGGCGATGAGACCTAATACGAGCCATAACAATGTATATAACCCAATTGGAGACCCGTAAACCCAATTATTTTCAAAATTTTAATATTGTGGTTTGTCAAGGTATTCTCACTTGAAAACAAGTATTTTTTCGTGTTTTTCTGGTAACAACACATGAATTTTAACAATTTTTCTGGAGTACTCGTCAATTTCAAATAGTTTCGGTTTAAGTGCGAACATGTTCTGGCTGAGAGTTTGCTTTTACAGAAAAAGATATTAATTCAACGGACCATGATTTTTTCCGTAACTGGCTTTGGATCGCTTTTTTTCTTTGAGCAATTTTTTCCTAGGTTTATGAGTAAATTTTGACTGAAAACTGGTAATTAAAAAAGTGAAACGCTCGTTTTCGAAAAAAAATGAAATTAACTACCCGATTCTTCTGCTAGTCAAAATGAGCACTCGTGGCTGAAATTGATGTTTCCACGGCTTGTTTTTTGAGAAGCTTGTATTGTTGTTATTTCTGCTGATGAATTGCGTCGGAACTCGCTTGTGAATTGAATTGACGTGATAAGTAACTAAAACAGATGTAAATATGATAATCAGTATATCAAAGGGCGAAATATCATCGCGAATTGTTTTAAAATCTTTTTTCAAAATTTCTTTCGTTGATTGACTTTGCATAGGACGAACAATTCGTGTAATTGAATTAGTAATTTAATGCGCGGTGCATAAAATTTAGTTTCTTAATATTGAAAATTTTTTTCAATAGTTGAACAAAATGTTCAATTTTTTCTGTTGAATTAGCTTTTTGTTGTAATTCATCAGATTGCTTGAGTGTGTATGCATGCTTCAATTAGATAATAAAAACCTGATCATATCGTATGTGTAATGTATGATTGTCCTTAGTGATATGAAAGTTAAGTGTATCCCAGGGTATCAATCGGCTTATTATTGCTCTGCATCATCTTTTTTTCTCCCATCAAGGTGTCGACTGCCCTAGACACAATTGTGCGTGTTTAGGTGACAATTAAAACTAAAATAAATTGAAATCCGGAGATTAATTGAAAGAATACTATTATTTACTTCTGGCGTTGTATTAAGACGCCACCATAGAAACAGGAAGTATTAGCATGGCTTGAGCTGTTTTCAGAAATTCAGTATAGTCAATTGTAGTTTAAAAAGTAAAGATTTCCGGACCGCGTTCATCATTGCATATATGTTTACGTTCGCGATTATCAAGAATTGTCAAATCAGAATATCGACTTTTCTTAGGGACTTTAACTTAATTTTCTAAATAAAGTTACCGGAATCTTTTGTGCTGCTGTCTCGCTTTTTTCCGGACATTGGTTTTGCGATCGGGTATAAGACTTTTTTCCCGTAAACATCTTTGTTCAAAGAATAGACATTTTAGTAGGAATGATAATTATCGCTTGTCATGCTCAAGTTCTTGAAATTCAAATAAAACAACCATCCTTTAAGAAGTAATTAGCTAAAGACTGTTTCAGGTTGTAATTAAGTTTTTTAACTTTTTTTCCGGTTCGTGGTTTTCGTACTAGTTTCTGTTGCTTCGTTCTTTCAAAAACGCACATTTTTTATCTGGTAGGGTTTTTATTGGCTTACTTTTCAAGAATGGGTTTTTTCAATTTAAAAAAAATTAAACTGCAGCTATTACTAAAGTTCAGTATTTTGTAATTTAACCAAATTTGATTTCGCCCATTTTTTTTTCCAATTTTTAAATATTTAAACAGTTTGTTGTTTCGGCTTTGTCATTTTATATTGTGTGAGTTAGGTTAGGGTGCTTCAGTGTGGATGGGTAGTAAAGACTAGCAAAACTTCTTGAAATTTTTTAAGACAACAGTTTTGTTTTCGGCTCAACCGGTTTCGACTCAAAATTTGTCGTCCTTGTTGCCGCTCGATGAATGATTTCAAGTTGTTTTGAAGGCTGTTTATGAACTTCCTCCGATACAACCATGAACTTTTCCTAGCTGTAATTTTTTCAACTTTTTTATTTTTATATTTTCAAGTAATTTTTTCGAGTAAATTTTTTCATATTTTTTACTGTCTTTTTTCTCCACTGTCTATATTGTAGCGCTATCTGTAGCGCAATTCGAAATTTTTCTAGCTAGTTCAATACTGTTTGTTGTGTTATCTCATAAGTTGTCATCACATTGAGTTTCAGTTGAAAACAAACCTTTGAAATTTTCGGGTGTTGTTTTTTAGGCATTTTGTCATTTTTTACGAGTCGGTGGCTTTGTGTATCGGAAGTGGTATGAAGCTCAGCTTTGCCTCCTTGTATGTTTTCAGAGTCGGAGTTTTTTCCTGATGTCTTTTCGGCGTAAGCTCTGTCATTTTTGTTTCTGAGTGAAGTTTACCAGCTTGCTTGCAAAACATATATAGAACTCGTCGTATATAACAACTTGCTTCTCATTTAGACTAAAGTATAGCTTATTTGTCTGAAAAACCTCTATATATTTTCTTCTCAAAGTCAACCTCACAAAGATTCTCTCGTAAAAACAGCAAATTTAAAACATCAAATTTTTTTCGTTTTCTGGTCCTTTTTTTAATGGTAAGATCGTTTCAAATCTTTTTTTTTGCTAATTTGTTAGCGTCATGTGTTTACCATGCGCTTCTTGCGTCACAAGTGGTGCGAAATTGAGTTGTCTTTTTGTTCGGTTGCTAGTTTTAAACTCAAATGTCACTTCGGTTTAGTAAAAACAGATAATATGAAAATGTATGAGACTGGATTTTGGACGCTTGGGAATTTTTTTCCTTTTCAGAAATTTTCTTCTCAAACTTCTACCGATTAAAAAAACGGGTGTCAATGAAAAAACCTCTCTTTAGTGTGCTCTTCATACTCCACTAGCCTCTTTTTTCTTTGCACCTTTGTGTGCAGTTTTTGAAATAGTTTTTAGGGGGATTGTTTGACCCATATTTTTTTTAGTTTTCTGAAAAAACTATCCTCCCAAATCTTGTTTTTTTTTGGTTTCAATGAATAAAAAAAGGTCTAAAATTCCACTGCATCAGCGGCTACGCGCAAATCTTTGGCTATCAGAAATGTCAAATGTTTGATTTCTTGGCCGTTTTAAAAATTTTTGAATTTGATTGAAAAGTTATGGCCCTCAGAGATGTCAAATGTTTGATTTTATGACCATTTAAAAATTTTTTGAATTTGCTTGAAAAATTATGGCCCTCAGAGATGTCAAATGTTTGAAATGTTAAATGTTTGATGTCAATTCTTTTTTCAGTTCAAAGAATGGGTTGGATGACGCTCCTTTGCACTTTCAACGACGTCCAATTTTTTACGCCAAAAGTTATGGACCTCAGAAAATTCAATGTTCTGATTTTTGACCGTTTTTTGAAATACTTTTTTCTTGAGAACTACTCTGAAATCCTCGAAAATTTAATTTGAATGAAGATTTTTTTTCATTTTTTGACCGTTTTTAGAATTTTTGATCGTTATGTCGAAACTTTTTGAACTTTCTTAAAACTAATTTTCGAAATCTGAGGTTCTGCGTTCAATTAAGATAGCGAGTAGTGGAAAGCCCACCGCATTTGCGGCAACTCAAAATTTTTTAAAAAGCTGACGCAATCGGAAAATTCAAATTTTTGATTTGCTGACCGTTTTTTAGTTTAGTTGAAAACTACACTGCCATATCTGAGTTTTTTGGTTCAATTTAAAGAACGGGTTGTGGATTTTTTTTTCGAATTTTCGACTACGCCCAAATTTTTTGAAACCGAAACTTATGGCTTAAAGAGGTCAAAAATAAATGTTTTTGATTTATGACCTCTTTTTGAAATTTTTAAAAACTTTTCTCTCAAATTTGAGGTTTTCTTTTCAATCGAAATTACTGATGACGTGACTTTTTTTTCATCATAAACGGCTATGTCCCATTTTTTTTAAACAACAATGTATGTTGCTCCGAAGTGTCAATTGTTTTGATTTGTTGACCGTTTTTTGGACCGGTTCTTGCTGTCTGTACTGCTGAATCCGATATCATAGTTTTAGTCAAAACAACAGGTTGTTGAAGGCCTACCTTAGAATTGGCTACGGCCACTTTTTTTAGATTAAGTTATGGACCTAAAAGTAGTTTTGAAACTTTTGGCAATTTTTGTTTCTTCTCGGAAATTAATGTGCCAATTCTCAGGTCAAATGTTCAATATAGAAACCCGGTCTTAGGAATCTTCTGTACATTAGCTGCCACGACCTGCTTTTTTGCAGAAAAAAGATATGGGTTTCAGGAATTTTTTTGAAACTTTTTGGTTTTTAAGCGACAATCCTTTGTTTTTCCTGAAGCGGCAATCCTTTGTTTTCCTGTAGGAGATATGTTATGTCCTTGGGAAAATTGCTTTATGTGATATTTTTACTCTTCTCAATTTTTTTAGAGAAACAACTAAGGTTTTGAAATCACGCATTCCGTCCCGCATCAGTATATCAAAATCATACAAAATCAAACACGTACATCTAGCTGGGCTTCTTTTTTATCGAGACATACGAAAATTTTGATCCACCTAATTTTTCGATATTTTTTGTTTGTGGTGCGAGGCCCTGCTTTTTATGCTTTTCGATTTAACGGTTTTGGCGTATGTTACATGAGCTTATTCATTGTTTACTGGGTAGCTTCGAAGGCAAAATGTTAATTTTTCGTGCTTTTCTGCGCTTCAGGAGGGATAGGCCGTAAAGAGTTTAAATTTCATAACTTCATTGCCTGAAACAACAGCTTTGGGTTTGTTTAACAGGGTTTCATTCAAGTTTCGTCGCGTTTGGTTTTGCTCGTTAAAGAGTTTTCACTGCTCCGCTTTACTCTGTGTCGATTATTTTCAAATAAAGTAAGAAATAACAATTCCATAAATTTTTCCCAGTTTTGAGAAAAACCGGTTTGAACTTTTTGAGTTTTCGAGCGAGTAAAGCGATCGAGTAACGTTCTTTTACATAAATTTTGACCATTTAGACTAAAAAACACATGGTTTTACTAAAAAAAAATTGTTTTGGAAGCTGTATTGAGCGTTTTCTCGGCCATAAAAATTTTCACGCAATTTAAACTTTTTTAGTGTTTTTTTATTTATATTTTTTTAATTTTCGGCTTACTTGTTGTTTTTTGAAGACGATTGTAGCATTTTATGCTTAATTCGCTAACTTTCTACGCGCTTGTGTATAATTCTATAATCACACCACACAGAAGAAAAGACGCTATTTTGAAGATAATTTTTTTTGTAGTTTTTACGAATATGGTAGGAAAATCATGTGCTTCTTGCACAGCAACCGGCTATCCTTGTTTGAATTTTTGTATTGTTTCATCAAGTTGAAGTTACTATGTATTAAAGAAACTAAACACTTCAAACAAGCAAAAAATAAAAAGAAGCATTCCGTGTTAAATGCACAGTAAACTGATTTCCCTACTCTCTTTTTAATTTTGGTAGCGTTTCTTACTTGGTAGCGCTTTCTGAATACGAGGTCACATTAAATTATTTTTTACCTGTGATTTGGATTCCAAAGAAAATCGAAAAGGTTTTTGAGATTAAATCACTCGAAACTAAACGAACCACACTGAACTTTCAATTCAATTCTAGTGCAATTCAACATAAGTTCATCTCAAATGACCTCTACTTACACCAGGGCTTTACCTAACTGAATTGTCCCATAATAAAAAAAACAATCGAAAAGTGGGCGAAAAAAGTGAAAGAAAGTTTTGAATTAAATTAATATATTTTTTTATTTTATGATTTTATTTCGATCTAATTTTTCATTGTTATCATTGGCCGGAACATTTTGTGCCACGGATACAGCAACGTGCTGTCCGTGTTTTTACGGTGGCGTCCCTGTTGATGAGAGGGCTGATTGTTGGAAGTTTATTTTGCCAAAGAAATCTAGAAATTTGCGATTTCGGTAAACAAATTCAGGCTATCAAGACAAAATTTGACCGACTGCAAAGAGAAAAATAAGCACAAAATAGAATTTCTAATAAGTGTCAGATCAAAAAGCATTGGAAAAATTTATTACCTTGAGGATATCAATTTTAAAAAATTGAAAAACAAAACAAAAAAATTATTCGATATCTGCACGAATTGTAGAGCAAAACTTGCCCTCAAATCAATTTCTCCTTCTTGTTCCGACCATTTGAATAATAGGCAGGAACTTTGTGTTTGGGCGTTTTAGTTATTTTTTCTACCTTTGTATTTTCCACGCAAAATCAATTATCATAAATAATCATCCGTCTGGCTTGCGTGATATGTCATAATAAAGAACTTTCAGTCGCGATTCGAACAAATTTAAAAAATTCAAAAAAGTGTTGCCAGTGTCGAGAAAAAACGGCCGTGAAAACTCACTTTTACTTGAGTAAAATTAGTTTATGGAGTTTTTTAGCGCCATAGGAAATCAAAAAATTTGAAAAAAAATTTTTTTTTTGTCAAATTCATTTACGATTTATTGTTTCGTTTCGTACAAAATTTGTTTTCCGTTTGGCCTATTTTACTATGGCATCTTTTTTTATCACACCATGCAAAAAAACTCTGTACAGCAACCGGCTATCCTTGTTTGAATTTTTGTATTGTTTCATCAAGTTGAAGTTACTATATATTAAAGAAACTAAACACTTCAAACAAGCAAAAAATAAAAAGAAGCATTCCGTGTTAAATGCACAGTAAACTGATTTCCCTACTCTCTTTTTAATTTTGGTAGCGTTTCTTACTTGGTAGCGCTTTCTGAATACGAGGTCACATTAAATTATTTTTTACCTGTGATTTGGATTCCAAAGAAAATCGAAAAGGTTTTTGAGATTAAATCACTCGAAACTAAACGAACCACACTGAACTTTCAATTCAATTCTAGTGCAATTCAACATAAGTTCATCTCAAATGACCTCTACTTACACCAGGGCTTTACCTAACTGAATTGTCCCATAATAAAAAAAACAATCGAAAAGTGGGCGAAAAAAGTGAAAGAAAGTTTTGAATTAAATTAATATATTTTTTTATTTTATGATTTTATTTCGATCTAATTTTTCATTGTTATCATTGGCCGGAACATTTTGTGCCACGGATACAGCAACGTGCTGTCCGTGTTTTTACGGTGGCGTCCCTGTTGATGAGAGGGCTGATTGTTGGAAGTTTATTTTGCCAAAGAAATCTAGAAATTTGCGATTTCGGTAAACAAATTCAGGCTATCAAGACAAAATTTGACCGACTGCAAAGAGAAAAATAAGCACAAAATAGAATTTCTAATAAGTGTCAGATCAAAAAGCATTGGAAAAATTTATTACCTTGAGGATATCAATTTTAAAAAATTGAAAAACAAAACAAAAAAATTATTCGATATCTGCACGAATTGTAGAGCAAAACTTGCCCTCAAATCAATTTCTCCTTCTTGTTCCGACCATTTGAATAATAGGCAGGAACTTTGTGTTTGGTCGTTTTAGTTATTTTTTCTACCTTTGTATTTTCCACGCAAAATCAATTATCATAAATAATCATCCGTCTGGCTTGCGTGATATGTCATAATAAAGAACTTTCAGTCGCGATTCGAACAAATTTAAAAAATTCGAAAAAGTGTTGCCAGTGTCGAGAAAAAACGGCCGTGAAAACTCACTTTTACTTGAGTAAAATTAGTTTATGGAGTTTTTTAGCGCCATAGGAAATAAAAAAATTTGAAAAAAAATTTTTTTTTGTCAAATTCATTTACGATTTATTGTTTCGTTTCGTACAAAATTTGTTTTCCGTTTGGCCTATTTTACTATGGCATCTTTTTTTATCACACCACGCAAAAAAACTCTGTACAGCAACCGGCTATCCTTGTTTGAATTTTTGTATTGTTTCATCAAGTTGAAGTTACTATGTATTAAAGAAACTAAACACTTCAAACAAGCAAAAAATAAAAAGAAGCATTCCGTGTTAAATGCACAGTAAACTGATTTCCCTACTCTCTTTTTAATTTTGGTAGCGTTTCTTACTTGGTAGCGCTTTCTGAATACGAGGTCACATTAAATTATTTTTTACCTGTGATTTGGATTCCAAAGAAAATCGAAAAGGTTTTTGAGATTAAATCACTCGAAACTAAACGAACCACACTGAACTTTCAATTCAATTCTAGTGCAATTCAACATAAGTTCATCTCAAATGACCTCTACTTTCACCAGGGCTTTACCTAACTGAATTGTCCCATAATAAAAAAAAACAATCGAAAAGTGGGCGAAAAAAGTGAAAGAAAGTTTTGAATTAAATTAATATTTTTTTTTGATTTTATGATTTTATTTCGATCTTTTTTTTCATTGTTATCATTGGCCGGAACATTCTGTGCCACGGATACAGCAACGTGCTGTCCGTGTTTTTACGGTGGCGTCCCTGTTGATGAGAGGGCTGATTGTTGGAAGTTTATTTTGCCAAAGAAATCTAGAAATTTGCGATTTCGGTAAACAAATTCAGGCTATCAAGACAAAATTTGACCGACTGCAAAGAGAAAAAAAAGCACAAAATAGAATTTCTAATAAGTGTCAGATCAAAAAGCATTGGAAAAATGTAATACCTTGAGGATATCAATTTTAAAAAATTGAAAAACAAAACAAAAAAATTATTCGATATCTGCACGAATTGTAGAGCAAAACTTGCCCTCAAATCAATTTCTCCTTATTGTTCCGACCATTTGAATAATAGGCAGGAACTTTGTGTTTGGGCGTTTTAGTTATTTTTTCTACCTTTGTATTTTCCACGCAAAATCAATTATCACAAATAATCATCCGTCTGGCTTGCGTGATATGTCATAATAAAGAACTTTCAGTCGCGATTCGAACAAATTTAAAAAATTCAAAAAAGTGTGGCCAGTGTCGAGAAAAAACGGCCGTGAAAACTCACTTTTACTTGAGTAAAATTAGTTTATGGAGTTTTTTAGCGCCATAAGAAATCAAAAAATTTGAAAAAAAAATTTTTTTTGTCAAATTCATTTACGATTTATGCTATTCAAAACTTCAAAGTTTACACTTTTACCAGAAAATTTGGCTTTTGAAACAAATTACAAATAGAAATAATTAGAATTAAAAACAAATAGCGATCCAGCTATTCAAATTGAACCTACCACCTATTGTAATAAATCACCAAAAACCATTCAACGAACGAGAAAGTCTAAGGAATCTAATTGGTTGAAAATTTTCCATCATTCGGCACCTCTATCATCAGAATAGTCCATGTTTCTACTCTGAACTATTTGTATGTTTATCTATTAAGATTGATACAATACAGCTGTAATGAATAATTTTTAGCTTTTTTAATGAGTCAGTGGAAATCCTGTGTAAATTTTGCATTTGATTGCCCGATAATGAAGCACTGCCAACAATTTCATAGCAGCTCCAGCCTATTGACAAATCATTGCCGATAGACAAATCATAACCAAAATAAAGCATAACAATAGCTGTTATAGAACCGTAGATCAAGTTTTATGGCGAGTATTATTTAATGGGTCATAGTAGGTCTGGGCGGCTCGTAGGTAACAGCTCGAAGGCGTTCGCTTTTGTCTCTCTGAAACACCCTTTATTAGCCTCAATGGAAAGTTTTTATTGCTATTGTTTTCAGATGAATTGGTCTTAGATAGGCAAAATGATTTAAAAAGCTGTAAAAAAAATGGCAAACGTGAAAGAAACCAAATCAGCTGAAACTCAAACAAGCAGTGATGGTTCGCTAATAACTGAATTGGAATTGTCCAAGATAGTTCGTCTCAATGTCGGAGGAAAACTTTTCGTGACTTCAGCGCAGACGTTGAGAAATACAAAGACTGATAGTTTTCTGTCGAGAATTATTTCAGATGGACTGCCCTCGACACGTGATGAGAATGGGGCAATTTTTGTTGATCGCTGTCCTATTCTATTTGAAAAAATCCTCGCCTTTCTGAGGACGAAACGCATCCGGCTAAATGGGGTTGATATTGATGATATGCTAAATGAAGCCGATTTCTACGGCGTTCAACCTTTAATGGATCGACTTAAAGTATGCAAGCAGCTAAAAAGTTCAACGTGTGGAAACTTAGCGTTCTGTGGTATAATACCACCAATGGAAAACAACTTTCCCATTAATGATTGGACTGATACGGAAGATTTGGCGCCAAGGTCCAGAAATGAAGAAGTTTTAGCACTTTGTGCTACAGATAAATGGATAGCTGTTGCATACGCATCAAAAATAGCCTGTTACTCAACTCGGCAATTCAGCGGCGAGGCTTGTCCGAATAATACATTTGTGACTTGGCTGCAGCCAATTCCCGATGGCAAACCTTCTTTCCTCGCTCTTAAGAGTTTAAAACAGTCATCGCGAGAAGAAAGGTCAGAACAATTGATAGTTGCATGTGTGACTAACCAATGGGATCTTCTGATTTGGAAACAGTCTGTAGATTTGGACAGCACCCAAATTAGTCCAGTTTCCTTTGTAGGAAAGTTCTCACTTTTTCCGAATGTAACGGCGCTTGTTTTCGCCGGTCGACGTCAAGTTGTGACTTTAAATAATGAAGGGTCCTTCGCTGTTTGGCATTACTCCCGGGACTTCCAGCAGCAGAAGGTAGAGCCAATTTCTAGTTTCGACGAATGTGGACCAATGATGTTTTTCGGCCATAAGAACGGAATCATTCGGTATTTCAACGCCGAAACTTTACCTGTAAGGCTGGAGGACAATAAGATAATACTGACTGATCTTTATCATGATCAAGAAAATGACGCGATCACAGCTTTGAATGTTCGATTGGCGACAAGCAACAACGTTATTGATCTGGGTGCTATGGAAAACCAGTTTTACTTCGAGATAGCCTATGGAACTGCTAGTGGCCGAGTCAAATTGATTTCAGAACATGCTGAAACGATAGGACAAGGACCCCAGCTTCTATTTAGTTTCGCAGTCCATAGATCTCCTGTGATTAAAATCCTTCTTGCTGAAAATCATTTGATCTCAAATTGTGCCGACTTTAACCATGTCAGATGCTGGCAAGTCAGCAGGTTTAGAGGACTCCTGTCTAAAAACCCTCTACCGATGCCTTTGACTAGTTTCAAGATGTTGCACCTGGAGCCAAATTTTTCGAGTCACGATTACGTCGCGGCTAACCCTATAGGCCCTCATATGTTGTCAGGTTCTCAAGTTTGGTATCTACAAAAAATAACACCCGAGGCGACGGAAATGTTTGTTATTTCGGCAATGACCGGAGAATGCGTGCATAAGATAGAATCGGTTGATAGTAGTCCGATAAACTGTTTTTCCATTACGGAAGAGTGGCGACGAGTTGGAGATCCTACTCAGTATGTTTTCACTGGACATAAAAATGGGACCATACAAGTATGGAATCTGGCGGCGATGAGACCTAATACGAGCCATAACAATGTCCATAACCCAATTGGAGACCCGTATTCTCTCGTTTCGTCCAATTTGAATTCTCAACTTAATTACAATAGAGAATCAATGATTAACTGTACTGGAGACATGCAACATCAAGTCAGGGCAATCAAAAATCCGAGGTCATTTTATCCTACTGTGCCAAATGAATTGTACCCACAAAGGACAAATCACCCAACTATTGACGACATTTTGAAAATGTTGGACAACTATGACTTATCTCAGGAAGAACCTTGAATGTCACTTTATTCAATTTTTATATTTTTTGAAAATAGATCTAAGGTGAATACTCTAAAAATGATCATATTTTTCTGGATAGTTTATCCAGCTGAATGTAGCTTAACCTAATAGTATTACAATTTCGAATTAACTTGAAGGCTATGTTATTGCAATGAGCAATTTACTTAGATTTACGAAACACGTCATTTTCTTGGTGCTATGACGTAAGCCGTAACATCATAATACTTTGATATACGGACTCTTTGTGAAGTTCTTTAACTTGAAATCCGCGGAACATGACATGTAATAGTTGGAATATACAATGTGGAAATATTAAATATAATTTATAGTTAGTTTTGCAGCTTGTTTTTCAGTAACTACTTTCTTTCCAGAGAAGTTAAACTGCTCTGATCGCTATTCAAAAAATCATTCATTTCGGCTTTCTAATAATTTGTGGTTCCAATTTCTAATCGGTGGTTCCAATTTCTAAAGATTCAAATTAAATTTTGTGTTGAAAGTGAATTCGTCGCAATTCTCGCTGATGATAAAGGTATGTTGTTGCGGGAAATAGTTGCTACAAAAACTATAATTGTTATGTATTAGTTTTGGCAATATATCGAATTATATTGTTGATCGAGTTATCGTTGTACAATTCATCGCAACGCAATATATCGAAAAGCTCTCAAAAGTAAACACGGGCTTAGCAGTTTTTCGCAATGCTTGCGACAGGCTGATAAGCTTAAGGTGCCAAAAACATGAGCAGAAAGCAAAGTATAATTTGACATTTCAAATGCTGGTAGAGTTCTTTTTCCGAAGACGAACCAAAATATTTAGGTTTATGCATTTATAAGAAGCTTAACCGTTGTTGTTCAATAAGCAGTTTTCCAACCACTGTGATTCGATTCTGAAAATTGAATTGTCGCTAGCGGAAAAGTCTACTAAATTCAAACATTGAAAAGCCTCAATTCAAAGCTTATGAGTTAGTGAAAACCGAAAATATACAGACCAGTTTTCCTCGACACTGAGAATCCGAATCATTGCCATTAGGGCTTAAATATGATAAACTTGAACATCTTTGAGCTTTTCTTTAAGTTGTCAAGATTGGGCAGCAAAAAGCAATTGCTAATCTATGGTTCCATCCTATCACTTTCAGTTACGCGGTCCGAAAAGTATATGCTAATCTATGGTTCCTTCCGATTACTTTTAGTGACGCGGTCCGAAAAGTGTATGCTAATCTATGGTTCCTTCCGATCTCGTTCAGTGACGCGTTCCGAAAAGTATATGCTAATCTATGGTTCCTTCCGATCACTTTCAGTGACGCGGTCCGAAAAGTATATGCTAGTCTATGGTTCCTTCCGATCATTCTCAGTGACGCGGTCGGAAATGTATATGCTAATCTATGGTTCCTTCCGATTACTTTTAGTGACGCGGTCTGAAAAGTGTATGCTAATCTATGGTTCCTTCCGATCTCTTTCAGTGACGCGGTCCGAAAAGTATATGCTAATCTATGGTTCCTTTCGATCACTTTCAGTGACGCGGTCCGAAAAGTATATGCTAATCTATGGTTCCTTCCGATCACTTTCAGTGACGCGGTCCGAAAAGTATATGCTAATCTATGGTTCCTTCCGATCACTTTCAGTGACGCGGTCCGAAAAGTATATGCTAATCTATGGTTCCTTCCGGTCACTTTCAGTGACGCGGTCCGAAAAAAAATATATGCTAATCTTTGGTTCCTTCCGATCTTTTTCAGTGAAGCGTTCCGAAAAGTATATGCTACTATATGGTTCCTTCCGATCACTTTCAGTGACGCGGTCCGAAAAGTATATGCTAATCTATGGTTCCTTCCGGTCTTTTTCAGTGACGCGGTCCGAAAAAAATATATATATATGCTAATCTTTGGTTTCTTCCGATCTTTTTCAGTGAAGCGTTCCGAAAAGTATATGCTACTATATGGTTGCTTCCGATCACTTTCAGTGACGCGGTCCGAAATGTATATGCTGATATATGGTTCCTTCCGATCACTTTCAGTGACGCGGTTCGAAAAGTATATGCTAATCTATGGTTCCTTCCGATCACTTTCAGTGACGCGGTCCGAAATAAAAAAAATTTTCAAATTATTTTTGATTGAGTTTTAGGATTATGCAATAGGTAGTATAGCCATAATAAAGTCAGATGAAAATAAAATCAGTCAAATTTGTTCTACTTTTCCGAAAGTCAGATTTAAAAAAAATTTTTTCCCATCCAATTGAAACATAAAGAGATAAGATTTGATAGTCTGAGCTCGCCTAAAAAGCAGTTGTCTAACGAAAAGGAGACGCGACAGCGCCCTTTCCCTCAAAATTTTCCAAATAGTCTCTTCTTTGGTATTATTTTATTAAGTTATGACATCCGTTCTTGGTTGACCAACCCAGAAGTTTTTCTAAAAGAGTCTTTGGCACCAATATACACTAAATTTATGGGCGGAGCGCACGCCAAAAGGGGCAAATTTTATTTATATTACTTCGCTTGAACTCCGCAAAACATGGCATGCAAAAGTTGAAATATACTATCGTGAAATATGAAATATAATTTAAATTAATTTTGCCGCGTGTTGCTCATCGAGGGGCAGCGCATAAAGTTTCGTCATTTTGGTCATTTTTGAGTATAAATGGTTTTCTTTTTCGTGTTGAATGGTTTGTTCGTTAGTTCAATACTTCTTGGAAGAAGGTTGATTTCTTGGTTGGGTTATTTTTCAATACTTCCAGTGGAAGGTTGTTCATGTAGTCTCTTCCAAGTTTCTCTGCGGCCCCCGCTGGGGTGCCTCTGGCAAGAAGAGGGGCGATTCCAGTAACTGAGACATCTGTGATTCTGGTAGCGGCACCTGGTTCGGCGAATCAACAACACGTCAAACGTGGAAAGGATAACAAAGCTACGGTCATGGTGTCTAATTTCATCTTTACCGTATCTGTGGAACACCAGACAGAGGAACCGTTTTGGTTTCATAGCCGAAGGTATGAGCCAGTTTTGAGTCGACACTGGTCATCCGGAGCATTCTCGACTGATTTGCATGAAGGCTGATCCGGCCTGAGGAAAGCAGAAGCCTCCACAGGGTTAGACCAGAGTGAAAGAGTTGTGATTGTAGTAGGGTTTTGGGGACATGAAAGAGGTGGCTGGGATGGCGAGGGGTGTTGAAGCACTCAGGGCCTCCTTTTAGGACACATGGGTCAAGTCTGCTGAGGTAGGAATAAAGGGGGAATAACCGGAGCGTTGTTGAGCTAGGCTGGACCGGGTTTTGCGAATCAGCGATAGTTCAGTTTGGGAGATAAGTGGGGGTTTTCAGTGAGTATTTACGTTTGGGAACAGTTTCGATGTAATTGGAAACCCCTCGTATATGCAGTTCTTTGTGTATATGGAGTTTGTCTCCCTTGTCGATGTACTCGTTAGGGTCGATCAAGTCAGTCAGGAGACCCGCATTGTGGCTTTTCAAAAAGGGTTTCATTTGCCTGGGGGTTTGTAATATCGAGTATTGCCCTTCCGGGGTGGTTTTGTATGGGAACTTGCATAGTATTGGGAAGAGAGTAGGTTCATGTGTTGTGTTACGGGAAGGTTGAGACATTCAGTGTGTAGGCGTTCGATCAGTAACTACTTTTTCAGTAAATAATATCTTCAAGTAACTACTTTGTTTCCAAAGAAGTTAAACTGCTCTGATCGCTATTCAAAAAATCATTACTTTGGGTTTTCCAATATTTTGTGGTTCCAAGTTTTAATCGAAGATATAAATTGAATTTCACGTTGAAAGTGAATTTTTAATGATAGAATTTGCTATTTTTTTCCTGATAAATCCGCAGTAATTCATAGTTTTCTGTCTCTAGGGATGACATGTTCGGTCCAATTATTGCATCGCTTGATAATAATAGTTTAAATCATTCAGATACTTTTTAGAGTTAAAACTGTCTACTTTTTTCTAGATGTGACATGGTTGAAAATAAAGTATCATCAGCAGCGAACAATAACAGCGAGGGCAGCGGCGATTTCAACGATGTCGACATGAAGTCCCCCCGTGAAAGGGAAGGCTTTGTGAATGGAGTCCAAGTTGCGAAGGACAAAGAAAACGGAGTGATGAATGACAACGAACTAGCGAATGGTGTAGTTGATATTCCATCTCCCACTGAACAGAAGTCACAGGTAGAGTACAGCAGAAGTTTTTTTTTCGCCTAACATTTTAATCGGATTGCCCTTAAAAGAAAAAACAAGAAAAAAAGAGACTTTGTTCCTTCAAAAATGTGTATGAAGTACAAGTTTTCAAATACATTAAAAGTAAATTGTAGACAATTACGGAAAGGATAGATAGCAGGCATGTGTGCCCAATGAAAATGTACCCTTGGTGTGTTAACTAAAATGAAATAGAATCTTCTTAATTTAAAAAACAAAACGACAGTTCGAAGTCGACAGTACCTAAGTCTTATAAATTAAAAAAAAACGACGGTACAAGTAGAAAAAACAGTAGAAATTTCTCTTTTTTGGATTTAACGTTTCTATTTAAGTTAAGTGAACATACTGAGGCAGGTTGCTCAAACCATTGATCTACCATTTTTTGAGTCTCTGCCCCCAAAAAAAATCAATAAAGCTGGTCGAAGAGCTCCAGAAAACGAAAGCTAAGCTGGAACTAGAGAGAACAGCTGTTGTTGAACATGCCGATGTTATATCTGCAAGTTTTTACAGCGAAAGAGACTCAAACAATGGTGGATCACTTTTTTCACTGGGCATAATTGCCCAGGAAATTGGCTTTAGGAAAAAACTATTAGCCATTTATGTTAAAATCCATGCTAATCCTAGGCAACGTAGCAAAAATAAGCTTATTTATATTGCACTAAAAATATTAATTTGAACTTTTGAATTTTTTTGAGTGACAATTCAAGATTTCTGGATACCTGCAAGCACCCGGAGCATCATATTTTCAGCCCAGACTTTTAACTCATAGTTGTAGCTTCGTAATATCTAACCAATGGGTGAGAAGCAAAACATTATCATAAGATTAAGAACGCATCTTCACTCAAAAATGTATTTAGTTAAATTTTGACTTTTTTGAGAGTAAGTATAAGCTTCCAGAGCGTCATAATTTCAGCCCAGTTCTTAAACTCGTTAATAGTGTAATAGTGTAATATTACGAATAAAAAAATTCCCAACCCAGAAGTGCTCATTTGGTAGCACTTTTGGTATATTCCCCAAGCATGGCAAATTACAAGTTTTACTTGTAATTGGTGGCAATTTTGCTGCATAGCATTGGCAATTTGATAGCGACTGCAGCTGCTTGGTTGCTATCTTGGTTATGAAAATTTCAAGTGACAGTGTCCTATATGCGAGGACTTGAGACTTCTAACCTACATGTCGGAAGCTAGATTTTGGCACATAGGAAAAGTTTTATTTCTTAAGGCTTCATTTTAATCTTCCTGCCTTTTTCATTTTTGCGTTTTTAGAGACATTTAACCGTTTTTTGCTTTATGGTTTGATTCTCCTCAATCCGACTTTCTTCCAGTTGATTCTCGATCATAAATCTCTCTGAAACTAGTTTTTGCAAGTTTGGCAAAAATTTTCTTGTTCAGCAATTTAAGTATATCTATCGGACTAGTATACCTCGAATAAATTGAATATTTGCACGAGCAAAGCGTAGTGTGTTATCACGAAGAGTTTTTTCTAACCTAAGTGGCAAATAAAAGTGCTCATTTGGTGGCACCTTTTGTATATTTCAATTTAATCATGTTTAAGAATAGGCAATTTAATAGCACATGCTGTTGCTATGTTTTTGACTGGTGTTAGGTCCTGTTTGATGGAAAATAGGTTTTATGAACAATCTAAGGGATTGTTGTTTTTTTAATGCTTCGCTTTGGAATATTTTTGCACTTTTCGCAGATTTTTTAATGTTAAACTACCTTCCCGTTTTTTCAAAGAAAGTGGTACCAATAGACAAGCCGTCTGCTCTTCTAGTCTACTTTTGACCCCACGTTCTTCGACCTTCGAAAGTTTTGATAGGGGATTTTTGACCTATTGTTTTGTTGATTTTTTTAAAAATTATCTAGTCTATTTTTTACCCCACGTTCTTCGACCTTCGAAAGTTTCTATTATGGGATTTTTGACCTATTTTTTGCTGATTTTTTTCATTTTGTCAAGAACAAATCTGAGATGAAGGTTTCAATCAAAAGAACAAATCATGGTGATCTTCTCTTTTTAAGCGGTTATTCCATTAACTCGGTAGAAAAATGTTATGGCCTCAAACAAACCCATTGTTTGACATTTTGGTTGGTTTTTAGAACTCGTTTCAAAAACTAACCTCTGCCGAATCGGAGATCAAGGTTTTAACCGAAAGAAAAAAAAATCAGTTATATCAATCTTTCCTGCGCAAGAGGCCAGGCCCTGCGTTTTGAAATAATTTATGGCCACTCATTCTAAAAACTAATTTCATCTGGTCGAATTTTAATATTTCAATATAATCATATTTAAGCTTAATCAAAAATAAACAATTTAATGGCATTTGCTGCTGCTCTATTTTTAGCTAGTATAAGGTCCTGTTTGAAAAAAAACATGTATTAAGAAAATGTATGGGATTTGTTGCTTTTCGTTTTTGATTGTGACGCTTTTGAAAATTTTTCGCAGAAGTTTAATTTGTTCTTAAAAACTACTCTTCCTATTTTTTTTAAAGAGCTCTTAATAAGAAATATGCTGCTCTTCTGTGTGCCGGCTTATTTCGCTAGTCTTTTTTCATTTCAACTCAAGTTCTACCGCCTTCGAAAGATTCAAGTGGGGTTTTTTTGCCTTTTTGTTTTGGATTTTTTTCTCAAACCTTGAAGGCACAAATCTAAGATGATGTCAATAAAAAAAACAAATAATGCTAGTCTCCACTTCTCAAGCGGCTGTTCCCTGAATTCGGCAGGAAAAAGTTCTGACCTCAAACAAACCCATTTTTTCGACATTTTGATTTATTTAAAAAACTTTTTGACGTTTCTCAAAAACTACCCTACCAAATCTCAAAAACAACCCGGCCAAATTGTAGGTTAAGTGTTTAACAAATAAAAGAAAAGTATTGTTGCGATTCTTACCTGCTCACGCGGCCATGTCCTGCGCTTTGAAAAAAAGATGGCCTTAGAAAATGTCCAATTTTTAAAGTTTTCCCAGTTTTTGGAAAGTAACCTGCTGATTCTGAAGTTGATAGTGCATTGAGCCCAACATGGTGCTCAGATTTTTCCTGCACAATCTGTTTTACCTTGTTCTTTTTCTAAAAAAGCTGATATGGACTTCGGAAAAATTCGTTTTCAAAATTTTAACGTTTCTTTACTACCTAAATCTGATATTGAGGCTTCGATGTGGAAAATCATGGTGCGGAAATCTTCAGTCTAAAAGTTAGGTGTGGAAAGCAGAGGATTTTTTCATGTTTTATAGAGAAAATTTTCGGATTGAGGAAAAATAATTTTTTATCGATTGTTGGAATCTTTTACACTTGTCGAAAAGTACCCCGCCAAATCTGAGATAAAGACCAAGCGGTTAATCCCCTTCTTAAGCAGAGAAACACTAGGGTTCAGCGTAAAGTCTGTTTTCTGAATATAACGCATTTCCGTATCAGTACAATATATGATTAAAAATATTAGAACTTGTAGATCCAGCATTAGCTGGGCCACTAGTTTACTTCCAAGCGACCGTGGCGCAGATGCGAGGACGTGAGACTCCCAATGAACAGGTCGGATATTCAAATCCGGAACATTTAAATAGTTTTAATTTTTTGGTCCAGTTTTTGCTACATCTCATTTGCAGCTTCTTTATTGATGGCTAATGTTAGTAAAAATACAAGCGGTCGTGGAGCAGATGTTGTGAGAACGTGTTACTCCTAATTTGAACAACTTTTGTTTGTTTAGAGCTCTTTTTTTGCATCTTTCTTGCTTGTGTTTGAGAAGTGCAGCTTCGCCTCTGTGTAACTTTTCTTTTAAATTCCTGAAATAATTATTAAAGTAGAGAGTTTGATGTGAAAGTTTCTTGATAGTGCTGAAGAAGAATTTGGAACAGAAATTATTAGAATTAATCTTTCAGTGATTTGATTTGCAGGTGGAAACTTTGAGCAAGAAGACGATGGTCCCTGGGGAGAAATGGTTCCTAGTGAGTTGCACGTGGATGCGCGCCTTTAAGAAGTACTGTGATGCTGACGAGTACTCATCCTCACACACGCCGACATCGCCAGGAACTGCAAGTGGAATCCTGTCTTATCCCAGTCCTTATAAGAAGACACATCCTGGGCCCATCAACAACCACGACATCATATACTATGGTCAGTGCTGTTGTTGTTGTTCTTCGTTGTTTATTTGGCTGTATTTTGTTATTCATTGTCATAGTTGTAACTTGCATTTGCAATAGGGACTGGGGAGACGAAATCTTAAATAGCTCTTTTTTTTGGAACTGCGCCTTTTACTTTAAGCAAGAGTTATCAAATCGATATAACGACTTTTTTTCATTCAAGCAGTTTGTATCACAGATTCACTGAATCATTTGATGGCTTAATTTTTAATAAATTTAAATTTGGCGTCTCATCCTCTTTGCTAATGAGGTAACGTCGATGCCTGATACTGCGAGGTTGAGAGTGTAAATCTGGTTGAGGGTGTAAATCGAGGTAGAGGCTGATACTGCGAGGTTGAGGGTGTTGTTCAGTTAATTTGTAGGACTGCCACCACTTGCATATATTTTTGTTTGGAAATGATGCGAAGCCGCAACTGTGTCCTAAATAGTGCTGCGAGTTTTAATCAAAATAGAATTGGTGAAATTTGTTGAAATAAAGAAAGCATCTTCAAAAATCTTTACACCTTTCAAAGAGCAAATAACATAAAGTGACTCGGACTGAGATGATTTGATGTTTTTCGACTGCTCATAGTTATCTCACGAGACACCTGGCTGTACACAATTTGTCATCTGACTTTTAAAGTCTTCTTTGATTGCTTGTTTTTCTCATTTGATTGGAAATGAATGAGACATCAAATCCAGGGATACAAGTTATATCTCTCCGCAGATAAGGAGAATAAGTTGCTACTGTTCAAATGTCTTTTGTTCAAATTATTGTAAATTTATCCAGCCTGCTGAACTGCCTATTGATATTTCAAAATTAGTCTATAATTTGACAAGCAGATAAACCTTTTCGATTGCTTTCAAATTTTACTCAAAATTAGATGCCGTGAGTTTAATTTTGTGTTCATTTCCTATTTGGTAAGTTTGAACGAGATTCAGTATCTGAGCATTGTTTATGGTGTAACTGGAACTGGTTGTTTTCTTTCCAGGGTTGTGAGAGTTAGTCATTTCTTTGTTGGCTAAACTAAAGTGGGATTATTAATGAAGTTTATTTTCCTTTGATCACCTGCATAAGTTTGTGATACCAACAGAGCTATTAATAACAGTCTAATCTTTAGTTTCCAATTCTTAGACCAGAGATTTTTTTTTTAAATTCGTTCAGTGAAATATTTCACAAAGAATTATACTTTTCACACTTTTATAATGTTATCCAGTTTTGACTAATCGAAGTTGCAAGTCGCTAGACAATCAAAAAAAATCTTAGTGTTTATGAAAAAACTACAAGAAATTTGTTTGTGCTTCAAATTCAATTCACTCGAGTCATTGATTATTTGCGCATCACTTAGTTGTTTTTGAACTGCTTCGTTTGTTAAGGTATTAGCTAAATTTTATCTCCTACAAATTTGCCTTCAGATGGTCGGAGCGTCCGATCCAGTCTACTTGAGAATGTAGACTACGAACTAGTGCCTGAAGTGTGCTGGAGACAACTCGTGGCCTGGTACGGCATCCTCCCCCAGTCTCCCAAAGCGCTCAATATCTCCACGGACACGACACCTGACGAAGTGGAAACCCGAGTCGAGAAACTGAACGCCGAGGTGGAAGCGGACCCAGATTCACCGCATGGGGAAGTGCGCAGATTCGTGATTGAAGAGGGATGTTATATCAAGTTTAATAAGATTGAAGTTTATTACCTGGAGCTGAGTGTATACAAGTACCCCGACCATCGCTTCTCGAAGAAACTGAAAATGAGCAAATCAAACACTATCGGTTAGTGAATTAAATCAGCACGTACCAATCGTTTGTTCTTGCAAAGAAATTGTAGTGTTGAAGGATGTCGATTGGCGTTACAAGGTACTCAGAAATTCAACTCAGTTTTTGTCAAGGTACTCAGTTTTTGTCAATGAAGTTAGCTTATGTTATTATGTTGAGGTAGGAGTCTTAAAGGCATTTTAACTGAAAGTGAGTTTTCTAGTTTAATGCTTTTACAGAACAGTTGAAAGCGAAGCTGAAACACATATACAATATCGGAGAGCCCAAGAACGTCCGCCTTTATGGCAACTTCGGCTCGGAGATGCACGAGATCTCGAAGATGTCCGCAACTCTACAAGACGAAGGGCTCTTCTCAAACCAGCAGATCACGATCGAAGTCCAGAACGAAGACGGAAGTTGGCCCAAGAAAGCGATCCCGGTGTCTAACGGGATTGCTTCTACGGGCTCAACGGCAAAACTCTTCTCGTCTTCAGGCTCCAGTCATATAGCAGGACCGAACTCAAATGTACCTGGACTGTGCGGATTGTCCAATTTGGGAAATACGTGCTTCATGAACTCAGCTCTGCAGTGTATGAGCAATGTGCCTCCTCTCACCGAGTATTTTAAAAGTAGGTTAATTTAGATAATTCTGCGTGGCAGTTAAAATAAAATATCTGGTAAGAATAATCAAATGGCAACATGGTTTATCTGAGCATGTAGTTCCTGTCGCTGTTGTGCCATTGCTAAAGCTTCTCAAACCAATGTAATTTTTAGGCTAGTTGGGTTGTTTTTTTTACGGTGAAATTCCAGGGTTGACATAGCTTGATTAAAAATTGCGTGCGTTTCTCTTAACGTTTGATTCTAGGCCAAAATAATTAAAGAGTGACTCAATCAATGAACAATGACTAATTCAACGCGAATGTTTTAGATAACTATCACAAAGCGGAAATCAATAAAGAGAATCCTCTGGGTATGCGGGGTGAAATCGCAATGGAGTATGGTGACCTGGTGCAAACAATCTGGTCCGGAGAAGCCAGCTCAACGCCTCCTAGACAATTCAAGGTACGAAGTTAAGCAGCGACAATTTAGACCATGGGTTCTTCTGCTGTCTTTTCTCATAACTGTTTTCCCGTTTCTCCCCATGCTTTGAAGCAGATTCAGGAGGGGCGGACGCTCCTAAACTGTGCCCTCTCTGTTACCATTTTGAAACATCAATTTTTGGACGACCAACTCTTAGTACTCTCTAAGAATACCTGAGGCGCCAATGAATACTGATATGAGGGGTGAACGCGCGCCAGTTTAGAGGCATTCCGATTACGTTTTTCGGCTTGCACTAGATTTTGGAAATGAAAGTGGTCCAAAGAAAAACAATTGATATTTATGCTTTTCATTTCCATCTTTTCAGAGTAAAGTCGGAAGTTTTGCTCCTCGTTTCTCCGGATTCCAACAACATGACTCACAGGAGCTGCTCTCTTTCCTTCTGGATGGGCTGCATGAAGATCTCAACCGGGTCAAAAAGAAACCCTACATCGAGGCGAAGGACGACGACAACCGAAATGATGATGTTAGTTTTCAGTTCTATTGAAATAGAACAGTTTTGACGTTCAACGCTATCAGAACAGTTAATTGCAGCTTTTAACTGGGTTCAATTTATAAAAAAGAATATTACTTGAAAACATGATTTTTCCGACCATTGAAAAATGGGGAGGAACTTTGTCTTCGGATGTGTTTTAGTTTTATCACTACTAGTCAGCGCAATGGGTTGGGTGATATAACCTATCAAACCTCTTTCAGTCGCGTTTTTACACAAGCAAAGCTAAGTGTATTATTACGAAGAATTTTTGCGACGCTTTAGAAATTTTTTTTGCGACGCTTTAGAAGTGGTCGGAACCTTGTAAAGTGGTCGGAACGAAAAGGTTTAAATAAAGTAATTAAGATGTGAATTAATTTTTAGCTCGAAGTTTTGGATTTGATACTTGTCTTTGGCGTGTAGGTTGTGGCGAAGGAGGCCTGGGAGAACCATTTGAAGCGGAACGACAGCATCATCGTGGACATGTTCCACGGCCAATTCAAATCCACTCTCGTCTGTCCGGACTGTAACAAAGTGAGCGTCACCTTCGACCCCTACTGTTTCCTCTCCCTTCCCCTCCCAGTGAAGAAGTTGAAGAGTTACGACATCACCTTCTTCAGGCTCAACCTCGAAAAACCACCCACAAAGGTATGTAACACAGGACGTCACCTTTGTGGGATGTGATTCACATTCGTAGATATTGTTTGATCAAAGTTGAATGTCGTGGAATCGTTAAATTTGAATTGTTGCCATTTGCATGACTTTTTAAACCAGCTCTTGATTTGTGGAGAGCTTTAATTCTAAGCAAATCAACTAATAAACTCCAGATGGCTCTAAAGAACGTTTTACTATGAAGGTAATAAATCACCCCTCTTTCGTGATGCTTTCAGTTGCGAGTGGTTGTGGGCGATGGCTGTTCCGTGCATGAGTTCCAAACAGCAGTGTCTGCAGTGGTAGACAAGAGTGTGCGTCCAGATGACATGATCACCACCCAGGTGTACAACAGTCGCATCCACAAGACACTATCGCAGGAGGACACTATGGGAAACATGTATGGAAGAGACGAATACTCCGTGTTTGAAGCACCAATGGAGATCAACAAAGCCGACTGCGAGTTCAGATTCGTGCCTCTTCTCTTCCGAGAAAAGTCAGTGCAAATTCAGATTTTTGTTGCTTGCAAAAACAAAACATACATGCTTTGGAATTATTCCGACCACTGAAAGTTGGGAGGAGTTTTTTCTTGTTTACTGTTTTTTGGTGCAAAGTCAGTTACTACAAATCATCATTAGATTGGGTCTAGTGTCGAGAAAATTGGTTTGAAATTTTTGCTTTAGTTTGTGTTATAATACGACAAAAAGTTTTTGTTTATGCCGTGAAAACTTAGTTTTACTCAAGGAAAACTAGATTTTGAAGCTTCCTTTAGCGCTTCCTTGGTAATAAAAAGTTGTTAAAAATTTCATTAAAAAATCTGCAAAAAGTTACTTTTTTGAAGATAACTGTATTTGATTATGTGTAAATTATTGGCGCTCTAAACTTTCAACTAAACCATCCTGCACAAAAACGTCACAATTTTGATTTAAAGACTGTCTTTTTCAAGTATTTTTGAATGCGGTCGGTCAAACTTATTGTCAAAGGTACGAATTCAGAACATGTAAGTTGATAAGGAGTCTTGAATGCTATACTGTTAAAGCTTTTTATGATGCTGATTAAATTCTGCCGAGATCCAAGCTGCCCATAAGCAGAGGTGCGTGGTATGTAACTATGTTTTTATTTTTCAGAAATCACCCAAAATCAATTACAAATTCGTACACATGCTTTGGAAACCCGCTCTTCGTCAAAATACCTAAGAGTGAAATCACCTACGACGAGCTCTACGCGATCGTGCTCAGAAGAGTCAAGTGAGTCAATTAATAAAAAAGTGCCTAATTTTCGAAATAGCCAGAAGAAACACTCAAAGGAAGGTTCCATTGTGCTCGAAAAGTCCTAACTATTTGACGGCTACGAAGTACACTGCCTTTTTTGTATTTATACTTGTCCTTAATAAAATGAAATACTTTCAGGCCCTTTTTGGAGAAAGAGGAAAACATTGACCCGAAAGAGTTAGAGTCATTGCGAATTGACGACAACGCGCCCACGGGCGATACTACTGCTGCCGCCAAAACGCAGAACGGAATTACCTCTCACAGCACATCATCAAGCGTGGCGCCTACCGCCGACGAGATCGACAACTTCGATGAAAAGGGAAACGTAAACAGCAACACTAATAATAACAACAATGAGTGTGACTCGACTAGTAGTATGGAGAACGGGTGTTCAGGAGGAGGGGTGGAAAGCGAGAAGGGGTCGATTGAGTCGACAACAGGGCCTGGAAAGTGCCATTACTTCAAGGTATCTGCTGTGTACAGTACAGGGAGCACAGAGATCCAGAAGTTGCCTCGCACCGGCTCATTCAAGCTCAATGGTTAGCTCATATTTTGAGCTGTTTATTCTTTTTCTTCTTTTGTGCCTATATTTTGAAATTGACTAGAAAGAAGTCGCATGAAACTCGTCTGTGAAAAAGATTTGTTCATTCTTTTATTTGATCAGGATGTTTTGTTGCGTTCACGCCTTTCGCTTTCCTCAAATTAGCTCTGACATTCTAAACTTCCAACATCCCCGCCTCGCTGTTTTTCGAAAAGCACTTAACGTTTTCTTCAGAAGCACCAGTCGCCTGGTCATTACAATTTAGACGTCTCACATTTTTTCGATAGATCATCTAAATTTTTCCTGAACATGTTTTGCTTTCATATGACTGTTTTTTTACTTTATCGAATACTTATAGCCCAACGCGAAAAGTCAACAGGGGCTTCATTTTGTAATGAAATTTTATATACTAACTTAAATTATCTCCAGCCCAAGCGTACCTGGCGTGTGACTGGACGTATGATGCGAGGAAGGTGTTGTTCCGGCCCCTGGATGAGCTGGTGGTGCCACATGATAGTCTGGATTTGAAGGTGGACCTGAAGAGGACCATCAAACTGGAAGACTGCATCAAACAGTTTCTGGTGGCCGAGAAGTTGGGGCCTATGGACTCATGGTCAGTCTTGTAGATTAATCATAGAAAACTAATTTCTGTGACTGATTATTAAATTCTCATCCCTCTCAGCCACTATCAGGGAAAGGGAAGGAACCGCGGTGTATTTGCGTTGTAAGCACAGTTTAAGATACCTCAAAGAACACTCATAGGGGTTCAAATCAGGGTTGGGAATGTCTTAAAACATGTTTTAAAACAAGGCAAAAAAACAGAAAATAAAAAACTTTTTTTAAACTTTTATCGCAAAAACTAGCATTGTCTGGGAGTCGAACCGCTGCGATAAGGGTATGATCCGCCTTCCCGTATTGAGCCAACTCGATCTCTGCAATGCTGCACCGGATCATTTTAAACATTTTGTAGCAAAGAGAAGAGATTATTATCCGTTTCCCGTTTTTCTTGCTGCATATCTATTAGATCATCGCTATGAGGGCAGAAATTTAGAGCTGAACAAACTGTAAAAAAAACAATAAAACATGTTTTTTTATCAACAAACGCTGTTTAATTGATTTTTTCACAAGCCTGTTTGATTGATTTTTCCCAAGAAGTTTTTTTTCCCAAGCCTGGTTCAAATATGATATCTTAGTGGAGCACTATTAGTCATAATTGTAGATCATTACCATTGCGATGAGCGAGGGTATTGCAATCGGGTACTCGACTTTTTCCCCGTACACAGCTTTGTCCACATGACTCATCGACTCCTGGTGGTACCTCGGTTCATAGCGATTTCAAATATCTTACTGTTTCCTGCCACTTAGCCTGGAGTTAACGAATACGCCTGGGAAGGCAAGTGTCTGGGGTTGGAATCTGCCAAGGACCTATTTTTTTAAACGGTAAAATTGCGGTTCAATAATGTCGGCCTATTATTTGTATGCTTATGTTTGTCTTCTTAATTACCATATTTAAGAATTGTTTTTCATTTTGGTATTAACAAATTTCACTCTAGTTGCTTTAAATGTCTTAGCATTTTAAAAATCCGTCCTAATCGACGAATTTGCTTTTTGCATTGGTTGTAATTTTACCAACTCGATTTGTTAGTTTTTTTTAAATGTCTTTGTCTTCTTTTTTTTCGGCTTAATCGCTCTTTTTATATCTACTTAGTGGTCCCTTTTTTGTGCGTGTGTGTTCTGAGGGGAAGGATGGCTAAAAACTTTTTTTTTATTACAAAGAACTTTGATTTTTTTTTCGGCATGAAGAGCTTCGGCTGAGGTTTTTTCTGTTTTGTTAGCGCTTGTTAAGTTTTGTTACGATGCGTATTTTGCATTCTATTATCTTGGCATGTTTTTTTTCAAAGCCATCTTCATTCATATTGATAGCTTGGCTGTATGTATAGTTGTAGAACATCGATGTTACTTTTTTGAAAATGATTTTTCGGCTTTCGATTTAGCTCTCGGTTTAGTTTCTGAATTGTGTATACCACCTTGTTTTCAGTATCTATAGGGCCTTCGTGGATACTATTTGGGAAGTACATGTATATTTTCCGATAAGATTTTATATAATAATTTTGGTTGATTTTCAGCTAATTGGCTGTAGGCTCCATTTCTGTCGGTATATTTACCTTACGTTTTGTTTCCTACAATTTTTCAATTTTATTCATGAGATCGGTAAGACTTTGGCCTCAAATTTAAATTTTCGCATGCTCTTATTCAACACCAATGGGAACTCTTTTGAAAACTGAACAGTTACAACTTTCGAAGTCATCTTTGATAGTTCTTGAGTGACTTGCTGTTTTAATCCTATACTTTTTGTATCGCATGTGGTGCGAATCTCAGCTTCGCCTCTGGGTCAGGAAACATGTCGAGAGAATTTGGTCCCAATATTTTTTTGCTTTTTCGACTAATTTGGGAGTGGATGGTTGAAATGCGAAACTTCAGTTATTGTATTCCATTCAATTGTTGCTTTATTATTTAATGAATAAGTTAGCCATTCATTGGCGACTTTATGTGGAATAACTCGGCAGGGGCGGATCCAGGATTTTCTCGAGGCGGATTTTCAAAAAAAATTCGAAAATTTTGTCGACCTATTTTTTAGGCCGACCAAATTAATTTTCTGAGCTCTCCTCAATCACTATAAAGGCATCATTTTGACCGCAGGCAAAATTTTGAAAAAACAGGCCAAAAAAGGCGTTTGTAGGCACTTTTTGAAACATTTGACCAAAAATCGTGTTTTTTCGGCGCGCGCTCCCCCTTAAAATTAGTATATATTGGCGCCAAAGGCGCCCTTAGGAAATTTTTAGGGTCCGTCATCAAAAATGGATATCTCAAAATAGTACAAAGGGGGGACCATTTGGATCGTCAGGAGTTGAACTCCTGAGGGACGCCCCCCCCCCTCCCTTGAATCCGCTGGTGTAACTCGGTATGTTGTGTAGGTACTGTCCCAAGTGTAAGGATTTGAAGGAGGCGACAAAGAAGTTCGACCTGTGGACTCTGCCCCACATCCTCGTTATCCACCTCAAGAGATTCTCCTACAACCGTTTCTTCCGAGACAAACTAGACAACAAGATCGACTTCCCTACCAAGTGAGTTAACATATATAAGCTAAGAGCAGAATGCGTCCAAGTGCAGAAAAACAGAAAATTATCAAATTTCATCTGCTAATCGGTAAATTAAGTATAAGAATTGTGAATATTAGAAGCAATTGTTTATGCATAATTTGAATAATTTAATCCTGATTTTTTAAAATTCAATTTAAAAAAAGTTGATAAGATTATTCAATTCATGCATATATATTTTTTAAATTTTCTTGGTATTATTGACGATCATAATAATTGGTTTAACAATTAGCCCGAATAAATCAATAAAAGTTAGTATTTTTCTGTTTTTCTGCTCTTGGACCCATTCTGCTCTTAGACAATTCTGCTTATTGCTCCGCCTCCAAGCTAATTGATGTACTAAATTAAGAGCTGACCTGAAAGTGTTGCTATTACTTCATTTACATCGAACAAATTGCTCTGCGTTCACTTCGTCATGAAATCTTTCTGAAATCTATTGCAGAAAAGTTGGCTCTTTTCCCATTCACAAACAGGTTAATAGTGTAACCAGTAATTTTCCAGAGTTGCGTGCGAAGACCACTTATGCTTGAAATAATCTATATCAAGTGTTTAATTTTAAGTTTTCCCACGGCGGCAAATTTTTTTTGTAGCATCTTCCGCTGGTGCTAGGTAAATAAGCCGACATGACAATCAGACGACAAATAAGAGTTATTAGATGTGAATTGAGGTGCTAGTGAGTTCATGTCCGGGGTGGCTCACTCATAGATTAATTTCAGATAAGGTACACCGTCTGTTCGTCACGCTATCTTATTTTTGGGCCGGATAGATTCGTGCAACTTCTTGGTGTAATACCGATCTTAATCTTACTCCTATATCTCCTAGTGTCAATAGATCTAGTCTATACTGGTATTTGTGAGATAAGATATCTGAAACTGTTCTGGAGAAGAACGACTGTTTGCTAAGTTAAATTTATTCTGTTTTATCGCTGAAACTATGAATAGTTTCAGCTATACAATTTATAGTAAGTGTTAGTTATGGATCATGATTGGTTAGTTAGAAATATTTTACAGAGATCGTTTTTTCAATAATATAATTGAATATAAATACTAGTCTTAAACTGATTCCACCCATCCGGGATTTAGAGATATTTAAGTTTAATGTTGATTGTAGTGGAGGATGGATGGAGAAATTTCTTGATTTTGGGAGTAGATTCTTTTGAAGCAGTGGCTGCGTGAATGAGGAGGAAGAAACAGTTGCTCGTGTTGTGGAGTAGTTGTCTTCATGGAGAGAAGGGGTGCATTTGCTCGTTCATCATAAGTGGGTCTCGTGTATCTGGATTTTTTGAGTGATCGTGTTAAGATTTCAGATTTATGCAATGATGTCTTGATTTCGTTAGGTTAGAGCGAGACTACGTGCATTCTCAACTATTCATCGAATAGCGAGGAGTTGTTTGACTTTTCTGTGTGAAGCGCCAAGTGACTAGGATTCGTAAGTGAGATCAACATCTAGTTGACATTGTTCTTCTTCAATGGGTTGCGATTTTGGGTCCATATTTAAAATCCTGTGAGGGTTGTGGCTACGGCAACAAAACAATAGATTTGCCATTCCAGAGTCGGAATGTCATCGAGTTTTCTTCTCCCTTTGCTGCTCGTTTCTTTTACTATAAGAAAACTTTTTACAATGCATATTTATAGCTGCGTTTTTTCAGTAATACCAGTTTTAATTATGATTTTTATTAGTTTTCGCAAAAGCATTTCGGTTATGTTAAAAAGTCGGCTATGTTAAAGAGTCGCTCACCCTAGAGCTACTCTCGTCAAAAATAGGAGTGCGTGTCTTAAACGTGGTGTAGCGCGGGTTGCGAGGCGGGCTATAGAGCATGCTCAGGACGTCCTTTACTGGTGGGTTAGGCCAGTTCTGGGAGTATGATTTTACCATCTCTTTGAGTAGAGTCTCTTTTTGTGTTCAGCTTTTTGTTGTTGTATATCAGGTGTTTTTCTCTATTTTTTTGCTTGTGTCCTTTTATCAGAAACAGATTGTCGTGTTTTTTGTTTTTCTTTTGAGTTTTTTGTGTTTCAATTGGTTATATTGAAACTTGAAAGTGGGTTTCAAAAGAATAATTTATCCAGTTTTAATCTGGGTTTATCTGGTTTGGGTACCTTGTGACTTTCTCATACATTCGGTTGGTTTTGTGGTTTTAGTAAGCTGCGCTGGTTAGTTTAAGCTTATTTATAATTCCTTTCAATCGGGTTAAAGGAAAGTTTCGAAACGCGTGAAAGCAAGTTAAAGTTGTTTTCAGTTAGTTTTATTTCTTCTTCGTTTATTAAACAATTCTACGAGGGCGGTTTGTATATTTTGTATGGAAAGAGTGCGTGAAATGTGGGCGAATGAATGACAAATGTTCTAATTTTATAAAAGAAGCACACATAAAAATGTAAGTGATCCTTAATTTAGTTTTCTTTAATTTACTACTTCAAATTTGACTTTTACTACAGAGTTATCAATTTATTGCGTTGATATTGAACTTTATTGCACTAGAATAATTCATAATACATAGTTAGATTTAAGAATAGAAAGTTGAAATAGTTTTATTTTCTTTTTTTTTCTTTTTGAAGAATGCTGGGTGAAATCTAGAAAGGAAAGGGGAAACACACGTGTAAAAATGGTGAGTGTTTAATTGATTTCTGTTAGGCATACTAATAAAATCTATCCTTAACGAAGTTTCAGGATCAAGGAAAAATCCATGGGCGAAGTGAGTTTTAATAGTGTCGGAAGTTATCAAAAGCTTAGCACGCGTGCGTTTCACATTTTTAGTGCGAAGCAGTGGCCAAGGAAGTTCAAACGCTCTGCTGATATTTACTTCTTCGGTAATAGCTGAAAATTCGTGACTAGAACTTTGTATTAGATTGTAAAGCTTGTGGTTAATCTTAATGTTATGTATGTTTTCTAATCGGGCTACTTCGATGGGTTGTATGTATTCGTGGGGCATGATGATGGGACGAGCATCTTCTAGTGGGAAGTTGTTAGTTAAGGGGCAAAAGATAAACATCTGACGGACAGGGTCGTAGTTACGGAGGATGCCGTTTAAGTTTGTAGATTTAATGCAGTATGTGAAGTTTAAAAAGCAGGGGGATGTGTGTTCCGAGTTAATAAACATGAAGTGGTGGTGTGGATTACGGGATTGTGAACTGTGTATATAGTGCCGTTGGATGAATTTGTAATAAGTATAAGTGTGGGTTAATTTTGTTGTTAACATAACCTCATGCAAGCAGTGAATATCTTGTTCCTTTGGTGTGAGAAAGTTTAATGTTAGTGCGAAGTGATTGAATTGGTTGAGGAATGGTTTCATAAGCTTTAGTGTTTGTTAGTGCGTGATCTTTGATGTGGTAGAATTTTTTCTGCTGTCAAGATGAAAAATATAATCTGTTCTGATGAAGAATTTTTCAGTTAGTTGTGTGTTGATGTTAGGGTCATTGTCGTACGGCGAATCTGTCATATATCTAGTCAGTGTGGTCATAGCGATTAATAGAGAATCGATTAGCTGTGCAATGAATTGGTTTAGTATTTGGTTTGAGCTTAGTGTTGAATTGATTTACGTGAAGTGCAGTAGTAAGTTGTAGAATGAGAGAGTCACAAAGTTCGTTGTCGGCGGGATTGTTCATTAGGGGTAGTTTTAGTGGGTTAGTAAAGTAATAGTATGAAGTTCATGAAAGTGTTGGTAGTAGGGAAAGTTCATCTACTTATCGTGCGCGTTGGGCTTCTTTTTCGCCATTATAGTTGGTGTATTCAGGGAAGAGTGTTAGGTTAAGTGTTAAGAAGTCTGGTGTAATAGTATGATGTGGGTGGTGGAAATAAAGTCAAGATGATTGTGGGCGGCTGATGAGGAATTGCGGTGTGGCGTTGGGATGTTTTCGTTTCATAAAAACTGTACACGTGTAGGTGCAATGTGGACAGAAGGGCTAAAGGATTTGGAGGTTGAGGCTGAGTGGGTTAGTTGATGAATTGTTAATGAGTTATTTGTATTATGAATTTGTGGTTGGTAAGTAATAAATCAGTCTTAATCATGCTCGAGTTGATCGTCTGCGATAGGGCTGGGTACATCGGGTTCATTACTTGATAGAGGGGAAAGAATAGGTGTAGTGTCAGTGTTCAACAGGGGTAGGGGGAGTTATGGGTTCAAAAGGTAGTTGTGAAAAATCATAGCGACTGGGTTCAATGTCGAGGAGTTCATCGGGAGTTTCAACATCAGAGTTATTAAAATTTGAGATTGTATTAAAAACTGTTTGATTTGAGTCATCTGAGTCCATGCATAGTGAGTTAGAAGAAAAACTGGGTAGGCGGAGGAGGTGAGGTCTGAAACTGAAATGAGGGAATGGTGGCGTTGGAGATGGGATGGATAGGAAAGGGAACGGTTGAGGGATCCAACTTGTCGGCTCAGCGTGGGCTAAAGAGATAATTGTTCTGAGAATGAAGTTTTAAGTTGTGCGATTCTTCTACAATTTGTTCATGTGTCGTCTTTATTTGGTTGTTGGAAGGCTAGATGAGATATAGGGCTACGTTGTAAGTTACTAGTATGTATTGTTCGCTCGGAGGTCGAAAGTGTATTTCGATAACTTTGTGTTACCTATGATAGAGGATGGTTTTTGTGTAAACTGTGTAAATGTGATGGTGCTGTAGGTGTTGTTTTTGTATTGTCTTGTTGAGTATCTTATGCGTTTGGTTTTGCAGATAGTTTTTTATTGTATTCACTGCTTTGTGCGTCAAGAAGGATTTTATTAATAGAGGTTGAAAATAATCCGGAAAATCCTGCAAATAAAATGCGTGCTATGCTAGCTTGTCTCTTGACTTGTGTATGTATTGCGCATGTATTATAGGTTCCTTTCAAAAGTGAGAAGAGGAGTCCTATGAATTTAAACATTGCGTATAATAAAGTCAATCTTTTTAAGATATAGTAAGGCCATCCTAGAAAAGCTAGGAGTTCGTTTTTGATGTGTTAGAAAACTAAAAAATATTTATTGGTGAAATATCCT